ATTCTATATATAATAATAATATAAATAATATAATTATTTATATTAATATATATAATTCTATATATAATATAGAATATATAGATTATATTAATAAATGATTAAAATATAAATATAAATATAAATATAAATATTAAAATATATATAGAATATATATAGATTATATTAAAATATATATAAATTATATTAATAAATGATTAAAATGTAAATAGAAATATGGAAGATGAAAATATGGAAACTATGGACTTTGAAGAAATTTCTGATGGTGAATTAGAAGAGGACATTAAAACGAGTGGTAAAGGTTTGGGAGATGCTTTAGGAGTTGATTGGGAGAGTCTTGTTAAGGAAACGCAATCCCGTAAATCCACATCATGTAATCAAAATTCAGAAAATCGTTGGCAATGCAAGGCAATTCTGCATAGAATTGGTGTTTCTGCAAAATATGCAGGTGAAGATGTAATGAAAAAACTAACAAAAAAATATGGAAAGGATGGTTAGTTATTTAATACATTTTTATTTAATATAAATTATCTTAATCATATTTGTTTAATGGCATACTAAATAAATATATATTTATTTTTAGATCGTTCGGAATTTTTCCTTCACAATGTTGCATTTATGCACACAGCACTTACACGAAATCATTTGCTGCGTGATTTAAACAATGATACGCTATCTATAGTAGATGATTTTCTGTATAGGTAAACATTGTTAAATTATTTTTTAATAAAGCAAAATAATAATAAATAATATCATTATTTATAAACATTATAATATATTGAATAACACATATATATATATGTATGTTACAGGAATAATAATGTAAATATTGATGAGGACGTAGATTATGATTTAGAAGTTTTAAGACCTTGTACAGCTTTATATGAAGAAGCAAAATGTTTATTAGAACAAGCTGTATGAAACATTTTTTTTATTTATAGGACGTGATTTTCAAAATTGCACTTTGCTATTACATTACATTATAAAACAGAGCATTACATTATAGAGCACAAGTGCATCATTTTGTTACTTGCTAGTCTAGTTCAGCTATTTAGATATTTTCTGCTGCAAACTTAACCATCTATGGTGCAATGTAAAAAGAGATTAAATTGATATCTTTTTCTTAATATCTAGTTCTTTAATTTTCCATAATTGTCTTATTATTAAATGTCTTATTATTCAATTTTTATATTCTTTCTATCAAAATTATAACATCTCCAATTGAATATTACAAATAATGATATATTTGAAAAATATATAATATTTTTTTAAATATTATATAATTTTTTGATTTTAAAGATTATATATTATTTTTATTCTTTTAAATTTTTTGATTACACAATTATAACTAAATTTTATATTATCGACAATATTTTCTTTATTTTTTGCACACGATAATTTATTTTTTAAAATATTTTTGATCGTATTCGAATCTAACAGCTAAAATAGCATCATTTTGCAATATATTAATTACTTCTTTTAATAAATGTTGATTTTCATCAATCTGAAAAGATATTCAATATAAAATAAATTATATAAAACTATCGACAAATAAATAATAAAAATATGCAATAAATTTTTCATCTACCTTCTGAATATCTGATTGTTCGAATCGTTTCATTTTTTCAAGATTTGTGCAATATAATTCATATAAAATAAGACCTAAAAATATTAAAAATAAAAATTTTTAATATTTTATATATAAAAATAAATTAGACAATATAATATATAATTATAATTTTTATTTTAAATATATTTACCCTTTTTTGTAGAATCACCACTGTTTAAAGTATCTAATACAGAAAGTAAATCATTGCAGTAATTTGCCTTGATATTCAACTCAGTGTCACTTAAATCTAATATAATGTTTAAAAAAGTATCGTACAGTGTATAAATTAATAAATTTTGAATAAAATACATTCGTATATTATTTGTACCTTTCCATTGAAGATCGTTACTTCTGCCATAATATGAAATGATTCGAAATTTCACATCCATGATAAGATAATTACTCTGAGGAACTATAATTGAAAGATCTTTTTGTAAAAACTTAAAGATCTCGCGTGGTGTTTTATATATAATTTCCTCCGTAATAGCAGCTAGACCTGATCGAATCGAACATATCTAATAATAAAAAGTAAAAAACAAAATATTTATAAAATCTAAATTTTATAAATAAAGGAACTAAAATTAAAATTTGTAAAAATTTATTAAATTAGCATTAGTTCTAAAACAGAAAGCAATAAAATTAATAAAAACTTAATTACAGTATAAATTATATATGATGTATGAAATAAATTATTAATTATACAGCAAATAAAATATATATATATATAAAATGTATTTTATGATTTGTAATATGATTTGAATAAATATTTAAATACCTGTCTATGATTTATTGTTATGGTACATTTATTACAAATCCAAGATGTTCTCATATTAAGAGGATTTTTTGGTAATAATTCTCCTGAACATTTATCAGATGCACACAAAAGTGCACCTAATTTGGAATTAAATTCCTAATATAATTAAAAAATATTCTTATATTTCAATTATTAATATGTTTATAAAATTAAAAGTAATTATTATATCTATATAATTACCGTAGGATCACTACATCTTTTACATATGCAAGAAAAATTTTTAGTCACATTCAGAAATTGCCGCCGCAATGTTGTATCCCAAAATAAACTTGTGTAGGACATAGTGATCTCCTCTCCAGCAGAAATTGGAAGAGCAGCCATAACATATAATCGAAATTTTTCATCGAAATAATGTCTTGTATTCGGTATACAGCAATGATTTTGCAATGAACCCAGGGAATAAAGACCTCGTAAATTTGTAAAATGGTCTTTGTCATGAACACGAATCGTTTCAAATGAATTTGTATTAAAAGCTCTGCATACGCGTTCCATCATTTCTATATCTTCGTCGCTTGGAGAATTCACCACATTTTTCTTGAGCAATTCAATCTTTTCGCATAATAATTATAATAAATATAATAAATAATAATTATAAATATATATAATTATGAAATATATTTCATAATAGTAAAAGATAAAAATATTAAATTATGTAAAAAAATATTTTATATAATTTTATTATTGAATACTAATTTTATTTATTAAAATTTTAATATCAATAATGATTATCAAATTATTAGTATCGTATTAAAAGTTTAAGAATTATTTACATAAATAATATTTCACAATTTTTTTTTTCTATCAATCTTCAAATAAATTTTAATATTTATTATTACGAATATATTAATAACAAAATAAATTCAATAATTTTAAATTTGGCTTTAACTTTTATTCTTTAAATTAAACAAACAATTAAAACAAATATACATATCGCGCTTATATAAGTTAATTTTCTTTTAAAAAATTTCTTTTTATTAAAAATGTTATTTTCAAATGATTATTAATATTAAAATAAATATAATTAAAATAAATTATTAACATAAATTATACCTCATATTTTGAAAATAAATTTTTATTATATTGAAGAGTGGCCAAACATTTACGCTGCATTTTCGTCATAAAAAGACCACGAATCGGTATCATAGCTAACAGTAAATTCAAGCACCAATCAGTACCGCAAGTCGGTATCAATGATCTTAGATATTCACATTCCTTCTCATGGTTCGGCGAATTCTCACATTGAGTGGAACAAACTGGTAAACCGCAACCTTTATCACATGGAAACAGCGGACATTCGTTCTTGTAACAACATATGCACATTTTTGTTTGTTTATTTAAGCACTTTGGCCCGATTATCAAAGGTGCATCGATGAAGATCAATTCGTTTTGTTTGATGTCTCGAGTGGCGAATATACCACGACCGCCCAGCGATGAATAATCAATAGTCCATAGTTGTTGTTCCTGGAAGATTTTATTCTCCTTCAAATGAGATACAAACACTTTTTCTACTTCTTTTGGTTCTGTTATATCCTGAATATTCATATTAAACAATAATGATAACTTTGAAAAGAATTATTTATAAGATTCTAACAACTGATCTTAGAAAATTTTGTCAGAGTATATATATGCTTAAGAAAATCATCAGATTATATAATGCAATTATATTTATACTATGTATCTATGTATTGCATTAATTTTTGTATAAAAGCGATTAATTAAAATATGAAAGGATCAATTAAATTATTAACTAAAATTTACATAAAATATTTTTATTCATGTAATAATAATATTATTACACGAAAAAAATAGTTTGTCTATATGCTCAGTTTTAGTCAAAAATAGAATTGGAATCTCGTATCTGATATTTGCATTTTAGTATTCGTTACTTCATTGTTGTTATATTTAATTGTCAATTAAAAAAAACATAAAAATTAAAGTATGAAATGATAAAATTCGTATTTATAAAATATTTTACTTATATATTTTTTACTACTTTAGTTTTTACTACTTAGTTTTATTTATATGTCATAAAAATAGAAATAGAATTAATCTTTCATTAATAAACTGATTCTATTCCAATTGTATTATTAGACGAATTAAATGTTACATTACACCGATTCGAAACATTAATATTTTTAAAATCGAATAAAATTTATTATTGATGAAGCAAATTTTACGCAAGCGTAACCGACAAGTATCATTGTTTGTTGTATAGTACTAGACTAAGACTACCGTTGCTAAGACTACCAAGTGGTCAACTACCTATAACAAATAGCAGTTAAAGTATATCTACATATACATGTATCATAATCGAATAGTTATATCATTAAGAAAAAGTACATATAAACCGACGAGTGACGTATTATTTGACGTATTTTTTATTTTAATTTTTTAAATAGAAATAGATATAATAAAATTTTAATTAATTCTAAATTATTAAAATAATAATATGTAAATATATTGTTTCATATATATATACTCACGCATAAATCAAAATTTTTTTTATGAAATTTATTCTATAAGTTAATAAGTATATTTTTCATATAAAAATTTGTAATGATCTATAGCAAACGTATACATACATAAAAATTATTATTTTTATTCAGAATGCATTATAAAAGGGTGAACATTGAAAAATTTATAAATGAAAAATCTTTTATTCTGGCAATATTTTTCCTCTTAACGATCGGTTTTTCACGAGGTCTGAATTGTAGCGGAGATCCTTGTATGTACGGAATATGTTTAGAAGATATAAACAGGTATATAAATCAATTATTATAATGCAAAATAAATAAATTTTCATTCTTTATTTTATTTTTTATATTTTTATATTATTGTTTAAAAGAAGAAAAAATTGAATAAAAAAGATGATTTTATATAAGTATTTAAAATTAATATATTAGTCATTCATCTCGTACATATAATACAGCACTTATTCTTGCTATTGTATCGATGGTTACACTGGAATCAATTGCGAAATCAATTGGAATGATTGTTGGTCTAATCCTTGTTTAAACGGAGGAACATGCAACGATGCTGTTGCTGCTTATAACTGCACTTGTGCCGAAGGGTTTGTAGGTAATTCACACGATTCCTTTTTTCATAGCACATGCGAAAACGATCTCTTAACATGTTAGCAGAGAGAATTATTAAATAGCATACTTATTTTTCTATTTATTTAAGTGGAAAAAAAACTGAAAATTATATTTTTATATGACTATAATACTAATAAAATATTATTTCATTGTATTACACATATTTTTAGGTATAAACTGCGAGCAAAAATATAGCGAATGTTCGAATCAACCCTGTCTAAATAACGGAACTTGTCTCGATTACGATGGTATTACTTGTCAATGTCCTGATGGGTACTCAGGTAAAATTAATATGTAAAAATTAAATTTTTTTATACTTCATCTAATTCTACTCTACTTCATCTAGTACTATTTCTTTTTTAGGAGATTATTGCGAAATTGACGCTTCGGTTTGTAATAATACAATATGTAAAAATGGAGGTGAATGTGTGGAAGGACCTGGATTTTCTTTCTTTTGTCGTTGTTCTGAAGGTATGATTTTTTTTTTTAAATAATTTAAATAGTCTATGTTTCAATTTAAGTATTTAAATAAATTAAACTTCAAAGGTTGGACAGGTCGATTATGTGATGAAGATATCGATGAATGTATTACATTGCCATGTAAGAATGGTGGTCTTTGCATTAATATTCCTGCGTCGTATACTTGTGCTTGTTTGTTTGGTAAGTTACAATTATTTATTCTTATTAATAATTTAGAAAATGATTTATCTTAAAATATGTTTGAATTATTATTGAATTCAATATCATATTAAAAATTCTTCATAAGGATATACAGGTAAAGATTGCGATAAAACGATTGTACCCTGCGAAGAAAATCCTTGCAAAAATAATGCAGTATGCTTATTCGAGGACGAACGTCAAGTTTGTTATTGTGTACCAGATTATCATGGTGCATTATGTGAATTAAAATATGATGATTGTGAATCCAAATTTGCAAACTGTGAGAACGGAGGTACTTGTATCGATGGTATCAACAGTTTTACTTGCGTTTGTCCAATATTTTATAGTGGACCATTTTGCAATATCTATGATTTTTTATCGACTACTTCGTTTTTCGAAGAAACATTTGAGACTGATAACGAAGAAAGAAGTACTGCTTTTACTTTACTTGTAAAATCATCGGCACTGCCAAAAATTGATACATCATTGTCAATGAGTACTTCCATAGAAACGCAACCTTCAACTTCCTTTAAAAGTACCAATCATTTCTATACAATATGGTACCCTTTTATAGAAACAACCACCTCAAGTTATAAAAACGGTGTTAATTTTTTTAGTAGTAGTACTACTACTACTACTAGTAGTAGTAGTAGTAGTAGTAGTAGTAGTAGTAGTAGTAGTAGTAGTAGTAGTAGTAG